CACACACACACACACACACACACACACACACACACACACACACACACACACACACACACACGCCGCGATCTCGCTTGCTCACCTTCGGGCGGCCACAGCAGGAGAAGGAGAGGTGGGGAAGGTAGCTTGCAGTGGCAGATTTGGTGGCAAGTGAGGGAGGCTGCGGGTGGGGGGCAGGCAAGGTAGGCAGCGGCACACAAGAGAGAGAGAGAGAGAGAGAGAGAGAGAGAGAGAGAGAGAGAGAGAGAGAGAGAGAGAGAGAGAGAGAGAGAAGGATGGTGGGAGCTCGCTGACACAGCACCACAACCGGGCAGCGGGTGTCATGAACTAGAGCAACTTTGTTGAAGGAATTGCGAGAAAATACACTTGGCCTCTGACCGCCTTGGTAATGGAGCCGGGTCTTGTCACACTCGTGACCTGATGTTTTGCAGGAGCAACACATCCAGCCCGCCGGATAAAGGAAGTTCGAAAGCTGGGCGCTACGACTCGGGCAAGACAGACAGAGCGCAAGCACGAGCATAGCCAACTCACTGCAAAATCTCTGGAGGCAGCAGGAAAATATAAGTGGACACCCGAACAAAGGCCGAGAAGGTCCCCTGTCGGGGGGCGGAGCGCTACTGGGAGCGCTCCGCCGACCAGGCCTTCGAGAGCCGTGTGGTGGTGCTGGACGTTTCCTGAGGCGGCGCGGTGGAGTGCGGCTGGTGGCAGGAGGGCGGCAGCTTGGTGGTGCCCGAAGTTTCGCAGGTGGCTAGCAGCAGGAGGCCGACAATAGCGTGATGGTTGGGCACTGCGTGGAAGAACATGAGAAGCGCCATCCTGCTATGCTGTGCTTTTGGTCAAAGAGGAGGAAAATTGTGAGGGCGTGTGAGAGGGGCACGGGGAATGGATCATGGTTGCAAGGGCGGCAGGTAGGTTTGTGACGGGAGGGCGCAATTGCAAATGACAATACCCCCTTCATCTCTTTAGAATACCTGTGAGGGGCGGCTGGCAGGCTCCGCAGTTAGCCTCACGACGTGGTTTGGGCTGCTGTGATGCTGGTTCAAGCAACGGTCCGTTTATCTTCATCGTCCGGTTTTTTGAGGTGGTGGATTAGTAGCTGGGATGAAGGACGAGGATGTGAGGTTTGGAGGGGGGAGGGGGGTGTCATTGTTTATTTTAGGGTAAGGCTCCTCTTCTTTGTACCCATCTAAAATTGCTGTGTTTCAATTACTAAAAATCCTAGTATAGTCCTAATGACCCTTAAAGATTGACTGGACGGGTTTTCCACTTTTTTTCATGAACTCAATGCTAGGGCTATCTCGTCCTTTGACTCTCTGTTCAATATCTTGATAAGATTCCGGATCCTTTAACTCGTTTCGTTTTCTGCCCCGAAGTGTTGTTTTGATCCTTACCGTAATTTTTCTTCCTAGTTTAGTTGCCTAATTGGTTGAGTCTATCCTCGATCTATCTGCGAGAACTTCGAGATTCAAAAATCAGATTGTAATATGCCTTCTATTTCGCCTTGTAAATTCATCCTCAGATTCCTAATTGATCGTAATTTTTCTTCTTAGTTTAGTTGCCTAATTGGTTGAGTCTATCTTTGACCTATCTGCAAGAACTTTGAGATTCAAAAATCAGATTGTAATATGCCTTCTAATTCGCCTTCTAAAGTCATCGGCTTAATTAGATGTTTTTTGGTTTTGTTGTATTCAGATTCTTAATTTGCTATAATTAGATTGATTGTATTTCACGGTGTCCAATCTATAGTACTTTTGTGAGGTTTTTATGATCCGGATTCAGGGTGGGGGAGGCTGCGTGGGTGGGCATAACGTGTCCAGTTGGTGAAGGGGCTAGCCAGTTGGATGGGAATATGGTATGTGCGCGGATTTGGCTCCTTGGCATGCCAAAGAGCCCCCTTATACAAGTGTGCCCGCCCTAAGTAAAGGCGGGCCTAACAAATCACGAGAGGCGCAATGCTGTCAATCTCGTATTGGGGGTTCAGGCAGTTGTTTTGCGTCAGTTGGTTGAGAGAACCCAGGTCCCGAGCAGCAAAGACTTTCCACGGTCTTCTAGGCCTTTTCTGAAAGGCAGGCCCTGGGCCACATTTGCAGCAACATACACAGAGTTGGGAGGCGCAATGGAATGAGGCTCAACAGCTGCTACAGAGGACGCAGGCCAGCCCAGCCAGGCTGCAGGCCACGCCATACTCTTTTCATATAGGAAAGAGCCCGATGCCTGGCAATCCAGTTGGGCACATGCTAGTTTGCGGCAGCGCTGCTGGAGCGAGTGATCACGGGCTGCTGCTAGCGCAGAGCATGGTGCAGTGCACGTGCGGTCGTGAAGAAGGAAGGGCACTGCTTCGGGCAGCTCCATAGCTCAGCCTCCGTAACTGGCTGAGGCTTGGTGTTACAGCAAGGCGTAGTGGTGGTCTTCGGGTGTAAAGAAGGAAGATGAGGAAGAAAGACAAGGGAGAGAGAGAAGTAGAGATGAGGACGACGATGTGAGGGCTCATACCTGGTATTGGCGATGGTCTGCATTGGGCGACATCTTCATGTAGTTCGGTGGCTACTGACGTCAACAGTTGCATTGTCAATTCGTAGTCAGATCGTAGCTGTGGGGAGTAGTCTGGGCGCCGAGCGCCAAGTAGGGGGAAGGGCCTGGACACTTATGTTGGTGATGGAGAGAGTAAGCTCTCATTGACATTGGGTTTGAGTGTTTCGATTCTCCATTGATGTAATATTGGTGCAATGCTGCTTTCTGGACACTGAGACTTTCTGGCTTTCAATGTGATTGTGCATTCTGGATTCTGTCATCTCGCTATCGCTCATTTTCCTTGCATATGGCTGCACTGTGGCATGGTAAGTCCAGCCAGAGTGGGGTTAATAGGGTAGAAGGGGGACCTTGGGGGATAACCCCCCCCTGTTTGCTGTGACATTTTGATCTAGGTCAAGTCCTTAATTACTCAAATTTCTGTGGGATTCCGGCGGCAGCGCCAGCGAATCTGAAATCAGGGTTGTGGTGATGCTTGGCAGTTCGGTTGATGCTTGTGCTATCTGCCTTTCACTCTTATGCTTTTGGATGGCTGAGCGGGAACGATGCTGGGCGGAGCTGCGGGTTTGGTCGTGCTGTCCTGTAACTCTTTCGTGACGAGCCCAGGGGGGAAGGTGGTTCTGTAGCTGCTTGGGGCTGTTATCAAGACGATGCTGGTCGGAGCCGAGGTTGGTCGTTCCACCCTGTAGCCTAACAGATGGGAGTCTTCTGAGGCAGGTTGCGCTGCCTCGTTACCTAGCAATTGGGGGTGTGAGGTCTTGAAGAGTCTTGATATTGAGGAGGTAGGTCGAAACAGGTTGAGGTTCGGATGGCTGAGCGTCATCCAATCTGGTTTGGTTTTTGCTGGTTTTTCTTAGGGCCTTAGTCATTAGTTACTCGGGTTTTCTCGAAGTTTTCTGCTGAGTAGGCAACCTTTATCTCGCGAATTATGTGGCGGAGGAGGTCGTCTTGTCGCGAGAAGAAGAGGAATGGAGGTACGCTACTACTCGTTGTGGGCCCTGGTGAGCCAACCCTTCTACTGCTGTTCTTCTTGCGAACTATGTGGTGGAGGAGGTCGGCTCGTCGCCAGAAGAAGAAGAGTAGGGGTGGCTTGCAGGGATGTGCGACGGTAGGTAGGGCAATGAGTATAGGTGGCGAGAACAAGTCATCTATGACTGATGGTTAAAAAATGTTTTGCGACTGGGTGGACTACTTTTATTCTTCTTCTTCGAACTACGTGGTGGAGGAGGTCGGCTCGTTGAAGGAAGATGAAGAGTTGAAGTCTGCTTTTAACCATTATGTATTCCGGAGGTTACTTGCCTACTGTTTTCATCATCCGAACTATGTGGTGGAGGAGGTCGGCTCGTCGGAAGATGATGAAGAGTAGGGGGTTGTAGGGAAGTGGGAGGATGGTTCGCAGCTTGATTCGGAAAAAGAGGTCTTCTCATGAGTAGCTGGTTTAACAGGGTGGCATTTTATTCAGGTTTTCTAAAATTTCTTGGTTTGTTCTCAGATTCTCTAAGGTGAAGCCAGGTATCGGTCCTGGTATTTCAGTGCATGTAATTTCATCTGGGATGCTGGACCCGGTTCCCAGCACGTGCTGCTCCCCACGAATAGATTGGAGCTTTTGTTCCAAAAAAAAAAAAAAAAAAAAAGAAGATACAAATGGACACCCAGAGTGGAGCCCACAACGACTCTTCGTTCTGGAAGTTCTTGGCCCCGTATAGGATAGCTGCTATAGAAACCGGAGGCAGGGGGGGCGAGTAGCTAAGGCTCAGGTCTTAAGGTGGGGAGTGGGACACTCGACGGACTTTGGAATTGGAAGCACATGTTTGAATCGCAGGAGAATGAGGTACAGGGGTTTTTCAAATGTGTTGCTATAGAAAACAGAGGCAGGGGGAACGCGTAGCTAAGGCTCAGGTTTTAAGGTCAGCGAGTGGGACATGCAACGGAGTTTGGAATTGGAAGCGCAGGTTTGAATAGCAGGGCTGAAGGAGATTGAGGTACAGTTTTTTTTTAAAAAAAAAAAAAAAAAAAAAAAAAAAAAAAAAGTGTTAGGTTCCAAACTTTGCCAGGAAGGGGAAGGGGTGTGGTGCAGAGTAATGAAGAAGAACTGCACATAAGTATGGGTAGTGAGTAATGGGCAAGGAGGGACAGAACGGGGAGTCTTCGGAGCAAGCAGCTTGAAATGAGGTATTGTCGGATGGCCCTGCTGAGTAGAAAGATGCAAAGCGTCCAGGGGTGAAGTCAAAGAAGTGTCTGGGCAGGAGGAGCCCTGGAGAGTCAAGGGGTTAACATAAGGACCTCTGTTGAAGGACAGCATACAGAGCCTTACTGTTCCTCGCAGCCTGCAAAATGAAAGGGGAAGGAAGCTGACGTATGTGTGTGTGTGTGTGTGTGTGTGTGTGTGTGTGTGTGTGCGTGTGGACACTTCCAGTCCAATCACGTAAACGTGGGAAACCTTGCACCAGAAACAAATATGGAACATGAAAAAGGGAACGAAAAAGAAGTTTGAAGAATAGACAAAAGAATTTCAGTGTATGATTCCCTTATTGGTGGGTACCGTACTCGCTGTGTGCTGTTTTTATGTGGTTGTTTCCCACATGCGGTTGGCTTTCAGCACTATGCGACTATAATATGCGCGCAGAGCAGTTGACATCAGACATGAATTTCGATGACCCTGTGTTTTACCTAGAGGAACATGGTAAACCAGCAGTGCTGCATTCTCATCCCATGGGACTTCAGAAGTGGTGCCCACCTCACCCGGTCTCCCATTCTCCCCCTGCATCTTTCTGAAAAGAGAAAAGAAAGGAGGAAGATCCGCCGATCCCTTCCTCCATTCACTCCTCCCAACTTTCCCGAAAACGAAAGGAAAAGGATGTTAACTTCTCATGCAAAGCAGTGCGCATCGGACAAAGGTATGATGACCACATGTTTATTTAGGGAAAGATGGTAACCAGCAGTGACTGCATCACAGCCTGTTGGAGTTTAGAAATGCCAGAACTCAGCGCCTCCCCTCCCTCCCTCCCTCCCCCCTAAAAAAGAGGAAAAAGAGGCGAAATTCTCATGTGCATCAAGTTTGTCCAGTTGCGAATTTGCTGCCTTTTTTTTTTTTTTTTAATAAACAAAAGGTGGCTGTCGGGGTGGTCAATCTTATTGGTTCTGTCGTTCAAAGCCATTGAAAGAGCAAAAGATGACACCGAAGGTGTGGTCCTTAATCCAAAGCAGCAAACAAACGTGAAGTATAATAAAGTGCCACAAATGGCGCAGCTGGACGTGGTTGATAGGAGTGTACACTGTTCCCACGGCATCCATGTCAACTCAATCTGTGTTATTTATCTCGATACTCGGAATGTCTTGTGCAGGTCCGCTTTGCTGATGGACTGCATGCCACTCATCTTGCCGCTCAGGTCTCAAAGATCGAGGTTCTTCATTGGCTCTTGCAGAAGGTATTTGTTTTAT